TCTCAAAAAACACGACTTTTCAAATAATAAGTATTGTCACAGACATCTTCTAACTACAAGCACCTCCTTTATTCTAAAATAATAAATATTTTTGTATCGTAATTATATATTTACATATTTTTTAATTTACATTATACACCTTTTGAATTCCTAAAGGTTACACTTTTTAGCATTTCAATATTTTTAAGATTCCTGTACTAACACCTCGGAGTGAAAAACATAAAATAAATAATTTATATATTTTGCTTACCAAGTACTGTGCTTTTACGAGGAGTTTCTTTTAAATTCAAATACTTATAAAGAACACCTTTTCTTTAGATAATATTCGATTAAAATACATCAGTTCTCAATTTTTTTTTGATAAGTACGTTCTTCTTTTTTTTTTTATTTTTTTATTTTTTGAAACTTAATAAGTACATTCTTTTCTTGTTCAAACCGCAAGACTATTGAAAGTATATACTTTCCGGATTCGATCTTGATAGTATATATTGATTTCATCGTATAAAAAGGTTAACAACAACCTAAATTACCTTCAAACCCCTTTTGTTGGAGACCAATCTTTATTAGTGTGCAACAAATTGCAAATCAAAACACAATTTTTTCAAAGGTATGAAATCCTTTTTTTTTTTTTTATTCAATTCACTTGCCCAAAGTTGGCTTGAATTGGAGTGTGCATATGCATTAAAAAGAAAATAAAATAATTAAAACAAAGAAAATCAATCCAATTGTTTCATGCTGACCCCAAATCTGTACTTTCTTCTGCGTCACTGTTCTTGAATTTTTGTTAAATAGACGTTTCAATTTGAAGATAACTCTTTAGAAATAGATATATATATTTTTTAATTAAAGTATATATTAAAGATGAAAATTTTAAATCATAAAGATCATTGAAACAAAAAAGAATAATTCAACTAATAAAAAATAAATTTACAAAAAAATTACATCATGTGCAATGTTGATTCTTCTAGTGTGTGTATATATATATATTATTGCTATTAAAGATTACCCCCACTCAAGGAAATTCCTGACTACGCCAATGATGCCCCCATTGTCCATATATCCCCTTCACCCCTGCCCTGCTCCCTTGAGTATACTCCACATCTGTGTTGGAAATATTGCCATACCCAGTTCGACTATGAGCAATTAAAGAACATATGGTCATGGTCTTCATTTCCTGCTAATGTCATTTTGGTTAAAATGACATAATCAGAGCTCCACAATAACTAAACGTAATTGAATTTCAAGGTTAGACACATTGGACACCTAGACACACACCTTAACTGGATGCCTACGCCCATCTCCATGCAAAAGTATGACATGTGCAAAGAATTATGCAAGAAAATAAGTTATATAATTTGAAGACATTAGTGCAGCAGTGAAATACCGTCTTAGAAAATTCATTGCCTTCCTCGTGAACATCGCATTACATTATTCACGTCTTACAAACAAGACAATAAAAATTAGTAGAAGATTCTTCTCTAGTAAAATGCAAAGCAAGGGTCGTTAGTATTTTCTTAAATACAAGTGCATAACATAATCATGTCATAAATTCATAACTATGTCATGTCAGATTCAAATTACTTGCAAACAATAATAAACAAGCGATGAAAAACCAAAAGGATCATCATTCTTAAGATTACGGTTAAAGCTGAGGACATCCATAGAAATTCATTATACAAAATTAATAATCTTAGGAAACTAACAATAGAATTGCATCTCACAAATTTTTTTGTTGAAGAATGACTACTTTTATTCAAACTAAAATGACAAGAATCAAACGCACACATTTTCATGAAAATAATCACAACATGCAACACCTCTTACCTCAAACAAATGGTCCAACAATTTAATAATCTGTGTCAACTTTTCAATATATAACTCACTTAGGATTTTCAGCATACCATTGACAAGGGGGAAAAAAAAACGAATCAGCACACTAGCTCCAGATCAGTCTAACAGTACAGTGTCCAACGGTCAAACTTTTTTTCTTTCTAGGTCTGATATTAAAGATTCAGTATTCATCCATTGCCAGAGGAGGACGAACAAAAAAATGATGATCAGCCAACATCAACATAATCACAAATAATAAATAATGTTACTGCAATTGGCCCAACGCTTGCAGTTGCTTGCCATTCCTATCAAAGCTATTGGGTGAAACAGGATCCAACTACAAAACCGCTTTAGAAGCTTAGTGACAGTTACAAATTTTCTTTGAACTTTTTATTTTTTTAGTATTGGACGATACTAATTTTTTTTCAACAGAATTTTTTGATTCATCAATGGCTAGAAGTTTATCATTCCTCAAGAAACATAACAGTTTCAAGGTAGTAGTGTCCTCGCTACATGGGATGGTGATAAACTTAGTCCAAGATGCCTTCACACCATATTCCTTTATCAACCACACCTCAACAGGACATCCATTAGGACTATATGGGAGAGGAAGTGCATACAAACATTCTTCCAAAGCTCCCAATGTGAAACGAAAAAACTGTTTCTCCTTGAATATCCAGGGACATCTCACTAAATACCTCCTTTGATAAGTCAAAAGAAAGAATTCAAAAAGAAAATGATAAACAAAAGGAACTCAAAAACACACTTACAAATTTATCCAGGCTTCTATGAGAAAACTTCTTAATTGTACCTCTACCAGTAGATATTTTAAAATTAAATGAAGCACCAATATTTAAATGATGTGGTACATCTACAATATCTAAATGCCTTCAAATTTCAAGGTTAGAGAAATTTGACACCTAGACACACACCTTATCGGGATCCTGCTTCCATCTCAATGCAAAAGTGCAATGTGCGCACAGAATTATATAAGAAAATAAGTTAATGTAATTTGTACACAAACATGCAACAGAACATTGTCCACTGCAGTAGTAAAATACTTGGGCTTTCAAGCATGAAAACACAGGTTCAAATGCCAAAGGTAAGGTTTGTATCTAATCTTCCGAGAGGAGGGTTTGACGATGGAGAAGATTAGGAGGATTGTAATTGGTAGTTGTGGGGGGATGGTTTGAGTAAGAATCAAAAATGGGTTTTGATGAATCCAATTTGCAATTGGGTGATGGGTTAGCTAGAACAAACTTGGGATTTTTCAGATATCCCATTTCTTGATTTACCGGTACTAGACTACTAGTGGTGGAGGAGGTCTGGATGACAGGATGCCGGCAATAGCAGAGGGTGGTAGGGAACCAAACATTGGTCACAGAAACCTAACTCCAATATCCATATCAAAATTAAACCCATCATATATGAGTATATTATATACACAATCACACACATTCAACCCATATCAAAGGTGCCGTTTCCATTACTCGCTCTGAAACAACATACAAGTATATATATACATCCATGTATGTATATGCATATACATATACGCATGTAAACCAAAAAATGAGGAACATGAAGAGAAAACCGAAGTGCCAAATCAACCATCATACCCAAATGCACATCTCTTGCTTTTTCATTTGTGATAATTTGAACTATTGATTCAATCCTTTGGTCTACGCCATTCCCATTCTTGATTTGAAGTTAACAAACCCTATTCCAATCCGATAGTCTTCAACGGGAGAGAGAGGGTGGAGGTGGTGGAGGCAGTCAGGTGGAGAGAAATGATGTGGCGGTGGTGGTGGGTGGAGAGAGACAAACTGGTGTTACTATATATTATTTTGCCATGTATACATATAAATTTAGCTCAAAAGAAGACAGACTGGTGTATATATTTCAGAAAGACAAAGGGCGTGGTGGTAATATCAAAGGCACAAAGCCCTTTGATGAGGCCCAAATCTTCAATGGGCATGTTTATGCACCGCCCTTGTTACCGTCTCACTAGTTCTGTCATCATTAAGGGCATCAATGCAATGTCAATTTTTTCTAAATAACTATGTCGGCCATGTCCTCACCATCTAATTGTTGAGTCATGAAGTGTGTTCCTTTTCAAGTAGGAGCAAAGACTTTAAACATTTAATGGGTAAAACCTAAGAAACCAGTGAGCATCAAGAAAGAGTGTGTGATGGAATGAGATAAAGTGTTGGTATAGGATAAAAAAGGTAATTTCACAGGAAAAGTAAATACTACTATATAAAAATTAGGATGAAAAGGTCATTTCTTAGGCAGTCACTCTGACTGGGATCTTAGTGTAGTAATCTCCAAGCTCAACCTCCATGTGTAAGCTTTTTGACTTACAGATGACTTGCAATAACTTTGCAAATTCATGGTGTTGCAATAACTTTGCAATATCATGCCTCCCTCATGAACATCACAATGCATCATCCATGTCTTACGAACAAGATAACAAAAATAGCAGAATATTCTTCACAGTAAGATGCAAAACAAAAGTCATTAGTATATTCTCTAAATACATCACATAATCATGTCAGGAAATCATAACCATTTCATGTCAAAATTCAAATTACCAAAGAAAAATAAATAAGCGAATTAAAAAACAAAAAGATCATTCTTGGAGATTACTGCTAGAGGTGAGGACAACCAAAGAGATTCATATACACTTTCATACGGTTGGTTTAATCAACCACATCTAATGTGTGCGGGAACAGTGGTTACTGAATTGAATATAACATATATTTATGCCATCCTTGATTACATCTGACTATGTTGCTTGAGCACAAACAACTTTAACTTCTATAATCAAAACGAAAAACAAATTTCCATCAAAATAATCACAGCAGCTCCCCTAACCACAAAGAAATAGTCAAACAGTTTGATTGTCTCTGTCGACTTTTCAACATATAAGGAACAAATATATTTTCAGCAAACCATTCATGGAAAATAAATAAATACTAAATAAAAATCAGCACATTAGTCTCTAGGCATAATGTCCAACACAGTCAATTTTTCTTTCCAAGTCTGACATTCAAGATTCAACATTCATCCACTGCCAGGGAAGGAAGTATAACTAAATGAAAATCAGCCACATCAACATAATTATAAATCATGTTATTGCAGTTCACCCCAGCACTAGCAGTTGCTTGTATTCACATCAAAGCTGTTGGGTTAACCACACTCTCCGCATACAAAACCGTTTGAGAAGAACTGGGAAAACTACAAATTCTCGTAAATCCTTTCAATTTAGTATTGTATGATCCTAATTTTATTTGATCATTGTAGTAGTGATCAATTGTCACTAGAAGTTCACCGTTCCTCAAAAGACACAACGGTTTCAAGCAAGTATTGCTCACAATACAAGGGATGGTGAAAAACTTAGCCCAAGATGCCTTCACACCATATTCCTCCATCAACCACACCTCAACGGAAGTTCCATTAGCACTAAATGAGAAAGACAGTGCATACAAATATTCTTCAAAAGCTCCCAATCCGTAAAATTCCGAATCTGTTTGGCCCTGAATATTATCTAGGGACATCTCACTAAATACCTCCTTGGATAAATCAAAAGTAACAATTACCCTATAAAGTTGTGCAAAACCAATGCCTTTGGGTATCATTAGCCAATGAAGAGCTCCATTCAAGAATATACCTAAATAATTATATCTCCGACGTTCATGTATTCTTCTCCAACTCAGATCTTGTATTCTTCTCCAATAATTATGTCTAAGACAAAACATATGGAATATGATACTTTTTGAGGTATCAGCAACAATGTCCATACCCAAAACTACCTTGTAATCGTTGTCGGAGGAGTCAAAACCAAACCCATAATAATAACAAATCCTACCAGAGAGTGGAGGAGTAATGGGTGGTTTTGGCAATTCCTTGGAGACTCTAGTGGAAGGGTTGTATATGATGACCTTGAATTTATCAACTACATAACAAATCAAACCATTGCAAGAACCAATTATAGAGACGTTGCTTTTTCGACTCCACAATGGACAATCCAACTCCAGTAGTGCATTCTTGTTGTTGTCAAGTAATGATTCATAGTCTATTGATTGGGGAGGGAAACTAGAGAGAAATACTTTCCGACAATTTTTTGAGAAAAGTGATCGATTGAGATGAAATTTGAAGAAATATGGATCAGAAATTAAAGACTGACATGGTTTGGAGATGCACCTGAATTGCAGAAGAGATTTAACTGGAAGTCTTGAGAATATGTCCAATTCGATTTCTTCAGGTAGGTTCTGGTTCAGGACCGCCATTGCGTCCCCAATTCTTCGATTTATGTGTTCAAGAAAGCGCACACAAATATATGCACACACAGGTGATGCGAGAGTGTCAAACTTTACTCTTTTGTTTGGAACCAAATTCTCATGGGATTTGAAATTGGAATTAGAAAAGGAATTGGAATTAGAATGGAATTCTACTTGAGAGTCTAGACGAGGAGAAGAACAGGGTGGAGGGGAGAGAAGATACTCCAGACACCGAAGAATCGATGAAGATTGAAGAAGAAGAAGAAGAAAAAGAACGTACCAGTAAATTACACTCACCTCCACATCCCAGGGTATACCAAAAATAAATAAATAAATAATAATAATAAATAAATAAATAAATAATATTAATAATTATAATTTGGGAAAAAAATTATATAAATTAAGTATACATAAATAAACAAAAGGTTCAAGTGCAAAAAAAACACTCTTTCAAATATGCCTTATTTGCAGATAATTCCCTAATTGGCCATTTCACAAGTGATAATAATATTCTTGAATCTTGATTTTATTTTTTATTGGTATATATATTTTTTATTTATGTTGAACAATTTCACAAGTTATAATAATATTCTTGAATCTTGATGTTATTTTTTATTGGTATATTTTTTACTTATTTATGATGTGTTCAATTTCCATAATGTTTGTGTATCTAAAATTTTGGAGAGGCAGCATTACTTTTTGAAGACTGCTACGACTGTGATTCATTATAAAAACAACAACTATAATTAATAAATTTATTCTATTTTTATGGAACATAAAAAATCTAATTTTGTAAGACAAAATTATCCTATTTTACTTGTTGACTATTATTCTCTCTTCTCTTTCTATTCCGTGTCTATATATATATATATATATATATATATATAGCTAACTTTTGTTCATGCATTATTATTATTATTATTTTGAATTGTCTTTAAATGGATTCATTATTTTCTTCTTCATTTTTTTCTTTCGGTTTTCATATATATATATATATTAAATCGTTGTTTCGTTGAAGTAATATTATATAATTGAGTTTTAGTTTATTTATAAAAGATAAAAGTGAATGGTTTAGTAAAGGCAGAGGCAGAGATAAGCATAATTGTGATGGGAGAATCACACTTATTGAATTTTAATTGAAGTAAAATTGTATAATTGATTTTTATTATTTGTAAATGATAAAAGTGAATGATTTAGTAAAGATAATAAGATAGATAAGATGGTTTGATGAGTGATAGATAATTATAGATGATAAATGATCGGTTTAAAAAAAAAAAAAAAAAAAGTAGGGTAAGAAAGAAGAAAGATATATATATTATACACCAATATAGGAGTAGAGAGAGAATAAAATTCAAGAAAGAGGGTAATATTGTATTATAAAATTAGATTTTAATGTTTCATAAATATAAGGAAAGTGTATTAATTATAACTATTTTTATAACCAATCAGATGCGACTGTTTAGGAGCTCCAATTACCGTTCTCTTTATATTTTAAAGGGTAAAGTACATTGACACCCCCTGAAGTTTGGGAAAAGGACAAGCAGAGTAAAGTTAGCTTGTTTTTGGACAATGACACCCCTTCAAGTTTGAAAAATAGACAAAGAAACCCTGAAGATGGTGAATTGACCTTATTACATTTTCAAATAAAATTAACATTTTAATTGACTTAAATACCCTTTGATTAAACCCAAACCCGAAACCAAACCCGAACCCAAACCAGCCTTTGTATGTTATACAGTTCACCAGAGGAGAGAGAAAGGAGATCAGACGAATGGTGGTTGTGGCCGCGGTGGTGGGGTAGAGAGAGGGGGAAGAGAGGGGGCGGCCATAGTTGAAGAGATGAGGTGAAGAGGAGAGAGAGGAAGAAGATATGAGAGAGATTGTGGTGATGGTTGCGACAATGGGGGTGGTGGCGATGACTGCGACAGTGGCGTTGAAACCCAAAAGCATCGGCGAAACCCTGAAATTGCCGGCAAGGACTAAGCTCCGATGAAGATGCAGCCACGGACTGAACAGTGTGGCGAAGTTTAGAAACCGAGCAACAAGAGACCGACGAGCAGAAACAATCCGACGAGGACCAAGCTCCGATGACGACAAGGTTCAGATGAGCACAGTCTGGCGACCGTCACCTGCAAGGCCGAGGAGGTTGAAGTGGACATCACTTCTGCCGTCCGTTTTGAGTCCAATTAGAGCCCTTTCCGTGCGAAGATGAGAATTGGGGATGGTAATGTGCACAGATGAGAGGGTGATATATATGTGTGTGTGTGTGTATGCGTGTGTATAGAGAGAGAGGGGAAGAGGGTGGTGGTGGTGGCGGCGACACTAATCTCATCCTCAAATCTTCCCTGCAAGCTCAAACATCAACTCTTTACCGTTGTCAAGAATCAAAGACACCGGCGTAGGGAACGTCTCTGTCAATCCCGGTCAAACCCCGCTTGTCCGAGGCTGAGTTCGCCACCCGAACCGAGGCTGAGCTCTGGCGAGGTCGAGGAGGTGGCAGTGGCAAAGCTCCTTTTCGGCGTCTTCTTTAGTGGGTGGTGATTATGGAGGTTGGGGGTTGGTGGAGATTAGGGCGGTGGTGACTGGTTGTTGGTGTTTGTATATATATATATATAAGTATATATGAAAAGGGTATTTTGGCCATTTAAGTTTTAAATATTTTATAATTAAATTTAATAAAATAGTGAAGGGTAAAGTGGGCTTTTCACTTGATTTAAAGCTCTGTTTGGAGGGCAAATTTCACAAGGGGGTGTGTTTGTCCAAAAACAAGCCAACTTTCCTCTGTTTGTCCTTTCCTCAAACCTGAAGAGGTGTCTTTGTACTTTACCCTATTTTAAATGTTCCATAATGGTAGGTGATATTTAATTAACAAACATAAATTTATAAGAATGCTAACCAATAAGGAGTGGCACTGTGCAAGTAGCACTCCTCTACTAGATACAAACTAAGAGAAAATTTAAAATTTTAAAAAGGGTTGAGTGGAAAAAAAAAACTCTTGCTATTTACCAAATGTGGAAGAAACATCCTTACTAAAAAAAAAAAGTGTATATAACCCCTTCTATTATTCATCATTTGAGCAATTTGACTCCTATTGAATAGATTTGTTGAAAAAGAGCAGTTTGTAACCCTTCATTTATATCTAAAAAACCAAAAGTGCCATTTTTATATGACAAGAATCCTCCTATCAATTTTGTATACATTTTAGCATTAAATGGGTCTGCTTGGGTATACTTCAAGACTTGTCTAAGTAAAACACACACACTCTCTCTCTCTCTCAATTTTTTTCCTCTTAAATATCTTTTTGTGATTACCAATATTATCTCTCTCTAAATTTTTTTCTCTCCATAATATCTTTGTGTTCAATTTTTTTTTTTTTTTTTTTTCTCTCTATAATATGTCTTTCTGGCCGTCTCTCTATTTAAATTTTTTCTCTCTCTAAAAATATCTTTTTATGGTTGCCCATTTATATCTCTCTCTATTTTTTTTTTCCTTATCTCTCTCTAAATTTTTTTTCTCTCTATAATTTATCTTTGTTCTAATTTTCTTTTCTCTTATCTCTCTATCTCAATATTTTCTCTCTCTAAAATATTTTTTTGTGGCCGTCCATATATATATATATATATATATATATATCTATTTGTTTTTTTCTCTATGGCTCTAAATTTTTTTCTCTCTAAAACATCTCTTTGTTTTAAAATTTTCTCTCTATAATATCTCTCGGTGGTGTCTCTTTGCCCATATATATCTCTCTAATTTTTTTTTTTTTTAATCTCTCTCTCTCTCTCATTTTTTTTTTCTCTCTATCATATCTCTTAATTTGTTCTAATTTTTGTTTCTCTCTCTTTATAATATCTCTTTGTGGTTGTCTCTCAATCTCAATTTTTTTTTTTTCTCTAAAATATCTTGTGGCCGCCCATACTTTTTTTTTTTATCTCTCCCTATAATTTTTTCTCACTCTAAAAATTATGTGTTGCCAATATTATATCTCTAATTTTGTTTTTTCTCTCTAAAAATCCCTTTGTTGCCAATATTATCTCTTATTCTCGCTCTAATTTTATTTTTCTCTCTAAAATTTGTCTCCCCTCAAAATTTCTCTCTGCCAATCTCTCTCTCTCTAAATTTGTGTTTTTTATATTTTATTTTATTTTTTTCTCATTTGTTTCCTCTTTGATTTTCTCTTATATATTATGTTTTTCATTTTTTTTCCTCTTTGCTTTGCTCTTAAATTTTGTGTTAACATCTATTCCCTCATCCCACTTTACATATTACGTTCAGGAATCGTGACTCACAAATGCCACATCTAAAATAAGACGGAGGGAGTATGAGCCAATCACAACTACTCCACAGCATCTAACATAAATTATAACATCAGTAACAGTGAAGATTAGAACAGTGAAGTTACTACATGTAGTATGATGTGATTAATATGATGTGATTTTCGGATGGACTTATTTAGTTGAAAATCAAGGCTAATCGAAAGGGACGAGAGTGCTTGGAAGTAATTGTTAAGGAATAAATAAAATATGCTTAAGTTACGACTTTAAAGATAATTTTGACATTTTGTTTTTCGTTTTTTTAAAGATAAAGTAAGACTTATTTAGTAATTTTAATATCAAAATTATGATTTGTCTTTATTTGCACAAATTAAAAATAGTAAAGAAGTTTTACGAATAATAAGGAGTATTTACACATATGGTATATAGCGGAGTTTTTTTTTTACACTTAATCCTTTTAAAAATAAAGATACATACCGAGGATCAAATATAACATTTTTGTCCCCCAACCATCCCATATCTGGATCTTTGCTTATGAACAAGGCTCAAATACTAATCGTCGTCATCATAATCACTGGCACTATGCGTGGCACCATTGCTGTTGTCTTCTAAGTTGTTTACACAAGAAAAACTTCATAAAAAAAAAAAAAAAAAAAAAAAAAAAAAATTACAGAAATCAATTAATGTTGAAAATAATAATATATAAGAAACCAAAATGGCAAATTAAAATTAGCAACTTTGGAAATGGATAATAAAGTTGTTCATATTATTATGAAAAATGATTCTTACACAAATAAATTACAGTGAATTGTTAAATCTATTCTTTTAATTGGTCAATTATATAATTAATAAGAAAATAAAATTTAGTTGTATTTGATACTTGTTAGCTGTAAGTATGACTACTCTATTATTATTAATTTATATATATATTTGGAAATTGGTATGTATAAATTTACCTTGGTATGGGATTTCTTTCTTGGTAAGGGTCGATTACGTGAGTAGAAACGCAAAGTTGGGAGATTTGATTTTTAATGGAAGCATGGAGCTCAGAGTTATTTCAACATGCTGAATTATGAATGTTTTATCAAATATTAAGATCCATGGAGGTGAAGATAAGTGGTTGTGGAATGGGAGTAGATTTTCGTTCAAGAGAGCATGGGGTCAGTGTAGGGTAAAAACATGGTAATGCCGGAATAAATGGAGGCCTCGAACTTCTGTCATGACTTGTGGTGCCAATCTGTTTCAATTGTCAAAGAGATGTGGATTCCAGGCTTCATTTGTTCTTTCCTTGTTCTTTTCTTGTAGATGTGTGGGGGTGTTTGTTTTGCATTGGAATATGCCAATATTTGCAAAAATAGATGGCCGAGTGTTTTTTTTTTCTTAATTAATACTAGCACATAGTTTTGACTTTTCTTTGGGAATTTGGTGTCTGATACTAGGACACTGGCTAAGTGTTTTTTTTTAGTTAGTACTTACACACACGTGCCTCCACTCTGACATTTCTTTGAGAAGTAGGAGTCTGTTACCACGGATCAGACAAAAGCACGATGTGTACAGAGTATTATGCAAGAAAATGAGTTATGTAATTTGTAGCCATACATATAACAGGAGTCCAGTGTTGAGTTGGAATGGGTCATGCCCCTTTCTGAGGTACAAATGACATAAAACGTAAGCATACTTCCAAGTACATGTGTGGAATGGGGACCCCCAAAATATATATATATATATATACTTCCATGTGTTTAATTAGAGTTCCTTTTCAAGGCGTTGCAATAACATTTTTTGCAAATTCATTGCCTTCATCAAGAGCATCCCAATGCATTTTCCATGTCTTACAAACAGGACAACAGAAACAGCATAATATTCTTCTATAGTAACATGCAAAGCAAGGGTCTTTAGTATATTCTTAAATATATATAAAACATAATTGTGTCACTAATTGACAATTATGTCATGACAGATTCGAATTCACCAACGAACAAGAAACAAATGAATAAAAAGACAAACGGATCATCATTCTTGGAAATTACTGCCAAAGGTGAGAACATCCATAGAGATTCATTATACAAAATTAATAATTGAAGAAACTAACAATAACATTGCATCTTAGAATTTTTTTGTTGAGGAATGACAAATTCTATTCAAACTGAAAAACCATTCATATGTTTAGTTTAATCAACCACATCTAATGTGTGCGGGAATAATGGTGACTGAATTGAATTTAACATGTAATTATTACATCCTTGATTGTAGATATCTAATCATGTAGCTTGAGCGCAAAATTGTCCATCAAAATAATCACAGCAACCCCTCTTACCACAAAGAAATGGTCGAACAGTTTAATCGTCTCAGTCAATCTTTCAATACATAACTAACATAGATTTTCAGCATACCATTCACCCACAGGTGTTACAGATCAGTCTCTGGGTATGTAGTCAGTTTTTTTTTTTCCAAGTGTCAAGGCATTCAAGATTCAACATTCATCTAAAACCAGAGAAAGAATATGCACGTACAAAATGAAAATCAGCCCCATCAACATCATAATCACATCAATGCCTTCCTAGTGATGCTACTCCAATGAATGTTGAACTATCAATGTTAGCCACTCTTGTCATACTTGAACCAATGTTCTAATATTTGGTAGTCCTAGATTTATTATTCCACCTAAGCTATAAACCCTCACAGGCTATACTAATAACTACATCACATACAATATTATCCTGTGCAAATACATTGAGGGTGTGTTCGATTGCATGAAATTAAAGTCTAATAATTGGAATTGGTGGAGTTTGAAAAAATTTTGGTTCAATTTTCTTAATTATTTTTCTCAGATTTTACCAATTCTAATTTTAAGACTCTAATTCCATACCGTCGAACACACCCTGAAGACATTCTTTGTAGAAACTCCTAGTTTAATCTGAAAATCTATCTTCAATCTCCAGTTGAAAAGTCCACTAAGGCATACAACATTGCTGATATAGATCTTCTTCTTGTCGTCGTCAAGTAATGATTCATAGTCTATTGATTGGGGAGGGAAGCTAGGGCAAAAGATTTTCTGGCGATTCTTGGGCAAAAGATTTTCTTTCCTGCTCAAAAGCAGGACTCTATTGTGTTGTGACTACTGACTACCCACTTGAGCTAGACCATCTAATGGAGAATAATCGGATCACCCGAGCATTTTTGAAGGACGAAAAATGATTCAGGGAGAAATTTTTTTTTCCCTTGGCAACCTAAAATGTAGGAAAATGTTATATTTATTTTGGTTTTGGGCCTTTTGGCTTCACTTATTGTCATAATGCAGCGGGTTGCAAAAAGTACAAATTGATAATGGAAATGGTAATGGGATGGAGTTATAAATCACAATACATTATTGCACACATGCTTACACATCATCTCCAAAACAAAACACACACACACATATAGATATATATATATATATATATATATATATATATATATATATATATATTGCGGACCTTCTCAACAGCAATAAATTTTCACTGAGCCCATCTTCTTCGCAAATTAGCCCATGTCAATGCAATCTGAAGAGCTATCCTTTCTATTATGTTCTCTATGAATTGGAAGTAAGCACGCCTCCACAACTTCTTTACCAATAAAGTACCAAAGACAACCCAAAATCCTACAACAAATCCAGGTCCCAAGCTGATAAAGAACCATGCCATGTCAAGATCATTCTCATCGTCACTGTCATCAAGACTTGCTTCATGGAGAGGAGGCACAACAGATCTATCATCAACTGGGCACTTGGTTGGAAGAGGAAGTCCACACAGTAGAGGGTTATCGTCATAAATAGACAGATCATCGAGTGTTTGGAGCTGATTTCCACTTGGAATTTTTGCCGACAAGTTGTTGTGAGATAGGTTCAAGTGCACCAAGAAAGTTAATGAAACCAAGCTTTGGGGAATCTGTCCCGAGAGATTGTTGTTTGAAACATGCAATGTTTCCAACAAGCTTAAATTTCCAATGTTCTCGGGTATGCATCTAGACAGATGATTCATTGACAAATTTAAGGTACAAGTGTGACAAGGCTTGTTATCTCCTCAGGAATTTCACCAATCAGGCTATTTGATGAAAGATCAATGCTGTTGACATAGTTCATAATTTTGCCATATTCATACTTTCTTCCTTTTAACATTAGAGTTATTTGCTCCACACCGATAAAGAATTCTCTGCTACTACCATAAGCTAGAGCTGTTAAATTTCCAAAACAGCTAGGAATAACTCCAGAAATGTTGTTGTCTGCAAGATCTAGGATGTGAAGATCAGTAAGTTTGCACCATTGTTGAGAGATGTCTCCACTGAACAAATTAGATCGCAGGCGTAGAATTTGTAATGCAGGGACATTTTCTACCATCCACAAAGACAAATTTCCTGATAAATTGTTTCCCCCAATATCAATAATCACAAGCGAACAGTTCTGCAAGGATGGAGGAATTTTCCCATGTAGGTTATTGTAGCCCAGCATTAATTTCCGAAGAGAACTCAAGGAACCCAATGAGCTCGGAATTTCGCCTGAAAGGTTATTGTTTGCCATATCCATATACAAAAACGCCGATGATACATTCCAACACTGAGGGAGCTCCCCCGATAATTGATTGGTCCTAAGGACAAGTGATATCAACTTTTGCATCTTGCAAATTGATGTTGGAATTGTACCACTGAGTCGATTCTCAAACAAATACAAAACTTTCAATTGTGGCATTAGTTCACCAATATTTGATGGAATCGGTCCCCAAAAGGAGTTGTTATTAAGAAGCAGCCCAGATGCATTACTGGACCACAATGGAAGGCTGCCCTCGAACTGGTTATTACTCAAGTTGATATAATCAACTTTTGGATATTCTAAATGGTTTGGTAGATTCCCTTTGATCCGGTTGTTAGACAGATCCAAATAGGTGAGTCGAGAAGATATCCTAGAAAACCATTCCTCGGCTATGGTGTCTACAATTCCAGAATTCTGAAGGGACACAAAAGTGAGTTCATTTTGAACTTGAAGCCACACTGGAAATTTGGGGCCCACTAGACAATTTTCTAGTTCAAGATACCTGAGCTTGAAAGGGGGTAGCCATTCGTATGCCACATTGAAAACCAAGGACCTGTTTTTGTCTGCTTTTATAATTGATAAAAATTCCAAACTTATGAGATTCATCAAGTGGACTTCTGTTACAACACCTTCCCATGAATTATTATCGAGATTTAGTCGTATGAGGTTTGAGAGTCGTCCAAAACTTTCTGGAATTGCTCCATTCATGTTATTGTTGGAGATGTCCAATTCTTGCAAGTTTGACAAATTTCCAAATGATTTTGGAATTGAACCCCAGAATGAGTTGTCAGAGAGGTCTAGATGCTGAAGGTTCTTAAGTATTCCTATTGAATCGGGCAATTCCCCTTGAAGAGAATTCAACACTAACTTTAGTGACACTAGGCAATTAGTTGGACAACCCGAGAATGCACCAAAAAACTCAACCACCTCACTATTGAAATTGTTTGCAGAAAGGTCTAAAAATTTTAACTTGCAAAGATTCCCCCAAAATATTGGTAATTCACCTTCAAACCAATTATAAGACAAATCAAGGGCTTCCAAAGACTTCAAGTTGATAGAGAATTCACTCGGAAGAGACCCACTGAAGATATTGCTACTGAGATCAAGTTTGGTGAGGCTTGTGAGATTGGAGAGCCAATTTGGTATTGAGGAGTTAAGCCCATTTGAAGAGAGATCAAAGACTGAAAGCAATGTCAAGTTAACAACAAATGGAAGCGAGAGTGGAAGGCTCGTTAGAGAACACCCAGGAAAGTGTAACTCGACGAGGTTAGGAAGCATATTAACTGATTGTAGCCAATTAGTGTCACTAACTTCCAAGTTTTCCATATTAAGGTATTTCAAAGAAGAGAGACCTGAGAGCCATTCCAAATTTTCAGTGCGTAGATCCAATGTGGCAGTTGGGTCATCAACGTCAACTAAGTAACACCTCTCCGGATAAGTTGTACCAAGATGAAGATAATCCAAGCTGGAAAGGTTTCCAAGATGTGGTGGAATCTCTCCATAAAACAATGAAGAAGAGAGATTGAGAAATCTCAAGTTCTCAAACATACCCAAGAATTTAGGAATTCGAATTCCTCCAAAATAATTGAAACTCAGGTCCATATAATTCAAATATTTCAACTGAAGCAAAGAAGAATGTATCTTACCTCCCAAACACGACCTTCGGTAATGTGATACATAGGCCATCTTTTCATCGAACTCCATTAAAGAATAATCCACAACGCTGGATACCGGAATCGGGTTTCTGAGGTCGAGCTTGACGACATGTCCCAATATGTTGTTGCATCTGACGCCTCTCCATTGGCAGCAATCATCACCCCCCCAAGAAGAAAGTCTACCCGAAGGATCTTTGAGACCATGCTTGAAGTTGATAAGTGCTTCCCTCTCCCTCTCAATGCACTTGGCAGAGGTGAGTTTAATAATATTATTCCCCAAAAATGATGATGACCCTAAAAACCACACTACAAGAAAAACGAGATGAACAACAAGACTAAGAAAAGTACTGTTAGCCATGGCGTTCGTTCTTGAACATACGCAAATTATGCAATGATAGTATCCACAGCATAAGTGCATTCATGAAGTTATTGTAGAGAAGCTACAAGCAGGAGAAAATATACAATAGTACTGTTGCATGTTTAGTCTTTTGCACCAAAGACTTTTGATATAGGAGTAGTACACCAATAACTGTTCATGGTAAAAGTGTTCATGCATCATTTACCAACACTGATTGTTTAGTCTTTTGCACCAAAGACTTTGATATTGGAGTAGTACACAAATAGTTATGAGTCCACCGAATCTTTCTACCTTATAGTAAATGTGTTCATGCATCATTCACCAACTCTGATTGTTTAGTCTTTTGCACCAAAGACTTTAATACAGGAGTAGTACACAAATAATTAAGAGTCCACCAAATCTTTCTACGTTCTAATAAATGTGTTCATGCATCATTTACCAACTCTGCCCTTTGGTTTTAGTATTTTGTTTTTTCTTTTCTTCTCTCACTTCATTTATAAGATTTACCAACTCTAAATTATATGGCACTGGCTCAACTTGATTATACACTTTGTTTCAGTCTTTTCCAATTGATTATTATTTTTAATTAATTATACACCCTCCTGACATTTTCTAATTCCTCATTGGAAGTCATATGTTGGGCAGGAATCTGCCATTTTTAGCTATTGTACGTAGAATTTAATTCCCAACCTCTCTTATCTATCATTACATTTTATACATTGTACATTTATGCATATATTTATAATGGAAATAATAATTCATGTCTTCAATAAGAGTGATCTCCAAGTCCACAAGATAGTCAATGGGGACAACCTTTGTGGGTCCATTCACAAGAAAATTTTGTAATGGTGGAATCATGGAAAGAATGAAAAAGGAGAGTTCCGTGTGTGTTCATTCTATATATATTTATATCTATTTGTATCATTATTAAAAAGTACAAAGTATTTCAAATCATTTACTTATATAACTTATTAATTTAATTCAATAAAAGAAAATCTAATTAGAAAAGAAAGTACTAATAATAAATACAAAAACTATTTATTTAATTCAATAAAAATAAATATTAATACTAATAATAAAATAGTAGTATGAAATACTAAAATTCAATAAATGAAAATTTAATTAGAAAGTGAAAGATATAATATTTAAAAACTTATTTAATAATCATCTACATCTAATTAGAGGGGACATGAACAGGGACATACCTGCTCAGGGAACTTGGTGCTCTACCACCTAAAAACTGGGTAATAATCATCTAACAAGCATTATCTAATCTAATCAACATGTAAGAAATAGTAATGAAACTAACAGCATAACTCAAACCCAAACTAAAATAACCTCAAGCAACAAACATGCACATAATAAATGTTATCTAACTTAATTATTATAAAACAATCTTCATACAACAATCATGCATATACTAAACATTACCTAAATTAACAAGGATAAGGGTTAAGAAAAGCTAAAACAAAAGACATAAAGTGGTCCAACACTCCGGCCTACGATGCCTCGAGCCACCTTTTGTCAATTGCTGAATTCATTATAGGGCTCTGTTGCCCAGACAATGAGTCTAGAGGGAGGTGAATACAGTCTTTAGGAAAGTTTGTAACGATTTTGAAGCTAAGACACTAATCTAACTAAGGAAGATTTTGCAAAACAAAGGATCGCTAAGAAATCAAAAAATTATTAGCTAAAGGTGACTTGGGTGCTTTGTTTTCTAACTTAACACTTTGGAATATAAGTGATGAACAAATAAGTGTAAGCATGGACAAACAACTTAGTCTTGGTTTGCTAAATTAAAAAAACAGAACAAAGCTCAAATGGGGTTAGGAACAAACACAATAACAAAGCTAAAAACAGAGTTATAAAGAGAAATGAGAAAGCAAACACACAAGTAGATAGATAATACGCACATCTTAGAAGCACCCTGAGAGGATTCCCTTTCTCACTAAATGATCTTCTCTTTACGGGAAGAGAGAAAACCTTAAAGTGATCGGTTTAAGGTTTAAGTCATAACCCAATAATATGGCTGTTTTAATCAACCACGTGTAATGTGTGCAGGAACAATGGTGACTGCATTGAATTAAACATGTAACTATGTCATCCTTAATTGTAGACACCTACTGATGTAGGTTTGGCACAAACAACTTTAACTTATAGTATAAAAGAACAAAAAAAAACCCCAAAAGAAAATGACAAGAAACGGATGTACAAACTTCGATCAAAATAATCAAAGCAACCACTTAGCACAAAACAATGGTCAAACAATTTAATTGTCTCTGTCAACTTTTCAATATATAACTAGAAAAAAAAAAAAAAAAACGAAGGAAGAAAATTAGCATACTAGTTGCACATCAATCTAATGCAATCATTTTCTTCTTTGTAAGTGACATTCAACATTCAACATCCATCCGATGCCAGGGAAGGAAGAACAACAAAATGAAAATCAGCCACATCAACATCATCATCACAACTTTTTTTTTCCCACATGAATGAATTAGGCCACATAATACTGCTTTTAGCCCATGCGCTTTTTCATTCCCATCACTGCTATTGGGGTCAACCAGACTCTCCACATACAAATATGCTTCAAAAACACAAGGACAACCACAAATTGATCTTAATTTTGATTGATCAATCTTCATTAGAAGTTCAAGCCACTCCTCAAGAAACATAACGGTGTGAAGTCAATGCCCACGTCACATGGGATGGTGATAAACTTGCTCCAAAATGCCTTCACCCCATATTCCTTCATCAACCACACCTCAACCAAACGTCCATTAGCACCATATGAGAAAGACACTACATACAAGCATTCTTCAAAAACACCCAATCTGTAAATCATCAAATCTGTTCCGCCATGAATACCATCTAGGGACATCTCACTAAATACCTCCTTTGATAAATCAAAAGTGACAATTATCCCGGGTTTCGATATCCAAAGAATAGCTCCATTCAAGAAACAACTACACACTGAGTATTGCGGATCATAACTACAACTCACGTCCTGCATTCTTCTCCAAGAATTGTGTCTAACACTAAACATAATGAATTTGATATTAATTTTAAAGATATCACCATGAAGTGTCACTTGTTGCCACAAGCACCTTGTAACCATGGTCGGAGGGGCCAAAACCAAACCCAATAAAACCAACTGTACAGTGTGGTGGTTTTGGCAATTCCTTGTAGACTCTAGTGGAAGGATTGTATAGAATAAGTGTGAATGCATGATGCATCAACATAACAACAAATCAAGCCATTGCAAGAACCAATTACATCGACTGGGCTATTATCATTTTGATTTTGATTCCACAAGGAAAAGTCCACCAACTTCACTATTATTGCATTACTATCGTTGTTGTCAAATAATGATTCGTGGTCTATTGATCGGAGAGCGAAATGAGAGATAGAGACTTCTGACATTTCTTAGATCGATTGAGATGCAATTTGATGAAATAGGGATCAGAAAATAAAGAGCGGAATTGTTTGGATACGCACCTCAATTGCACAAGCGATTGAACCGGAAGTCTTGAGAATACGTCCATTTTGATGTCTGGAGGTAGGTTAAAGACTGCCATTGCATCCCCCGTTCTGGTAAGCACACAACACTACACACAGTTGAGTTTCAGAATGGAAAGACCCTTTACTTTTTACCCTTCAAGAGTCGCGCTTTGCATAATGTTTTCTGTAGTTTATAAACTATTAGTTTTATTTTGAATATTTTGATGTAATTTTATACAGATAAAATATGATGAGGGTTGGTGATTTAAAGAATTATATACAGAGTACATTCTAGTAAAAATTGTACCTGCATTGCACAGGAATAAAATATAATTTAGAAATAATATTCAACAAAATAATCAAATAATTATATTTTCAAATAGTTATTAAAATTGAAATTTTAAAATAATCACACTGATATATTAATTAAGTTAATCAGATTAAAAAATTAAATAACAATAGTAATTTACAATAATAAATAATAAAACTATTGAATAAAACATAATTAAGAAGACCCTAAAATGATCAATGAACATAAAATTGACACAAGGAAAATAAAAATAAAAAATAAAGATAATAATTTTTAGTTGAAATTTTCAATAGGAATTCATGTTATTGATATATGTATTTTCAAACTTCAAGATTATTTTTTCAATTACAATTCATTAATATATTTTTTTTAGTGATGAATAATATTCAACAATGCAATGAAATATTTATTTTCTCAAAGAGTAACTAAAATTTATTTCTTAAAATATATAACCACACTAAACAGCTTACAAGATTAAATAATGATAACAATTTTCAAAATATTTACCATAATAAATTAAAAAATTATTCAATAATACATAATTAGCAAAACTCTAAAATGATTAATGAACCTAAAATTGACACAAGTAAAGAAAAAATAACTTTTAATTAAACTATTCAATAGAAATTCAATTATTAATATGTGTATTTTCAAACTTTTAATCAAAACTATTTTTAATATTAAAATTTAATAATCCTTTTATCAATTCAAAACTATTAATCGACAAAGTCTAAAGAAAAGAAATTGTGTACAAATTCTATACGATCAATTTCAATTGTTATTTAATTATGTATAATGAAAGGTAATATTTGTTATAAGTAATTTACTTGCTCATGAACATCAATCAATTACTAAAAGCAAGAAACTCCAAATATTCCAAATAGTAGATCAATAATTATTAAGTAGTGCACTCAAATAACAAACCAATTAACTTATAATGAAATGGATATTATGACTACTTGACGAAATCAATTAGAATAGAAAAGTTGGCAATATGTAATCAAGACAATAATACCATAAAATTTAATAATTAAATATTAATTACCTTGAATGTGAGTGCATATCTTACTCTTGAAAGAATGAGGGTTTTAGTGATTTAATGATTAAATAAATAAATAAATAATACTGAGACATATGTAGAGATCATTCACCTAAACAAGCATAAGATTCATTTTCTTTGCAAAATAGATGTTATATTAATTTATCATTTAGGAAGAAAAAAAAAAAAAAAAAAAAAAGAAGAAGAAGAAAAAAGAAAAAGATGTTATATTAATTTATCTGTAAACTGATACAAAAAAAATAAAAAAATAAATAAAAATAAAAAATGTTGGGATTAAAATGAAAATTCAATAAATAGAAATATGCAGGGAAACAAAATTTTAACAAATTTTTTACCCAAAACAATCCTAAAATCCCTGTTGGATACCATATTAATTTAACTGCAAATTGATCCTTCAAAAAGAAAAGGTGGATCAAAATGAAACTATCATAAATACAAATATATTACGTTTTTTTATTAATCAAATGCACTCTTATCCACCAAAATATCCATCAAATAATCAGTAGGTAGACTGAAACTTCATGCTAAAAAATGCAGGTCAAATTGCCAATTAAATTATTCAAGCACATAGTGATAACTTTAACAAAATTGAAACATGTTGGCTCTGTTTGTTTGGATATAAAATATTTTTTTATTTTTTTAGTGTTTGGTTGCCGTAAAATATTTACGAAGAAAAAAATATTAAAATTTAACAAAAATAATTTATCCATCAACTTTCGACAAGTTATTTTACATGTCCCGCCTAATGGACTCAACTTCAATCTCGTCAGAGGTGAAATTCTTGGATTTATGAAAGACGAACAACTGCGAAAGCATTTGCCAAGGATGTTTTCATTAATCAAGAACGAAAGTTGGGCCATTTTTGGTAAGCAGAACTGGCGATGCGGGATGAACCGGAAGCCGGGAGAAGTCGTAACAAGGTTTCCGTAGGTGAACCTGCGGAAGGATCATTGTCGAAACCTGCACAGCAGAACGACCCGCGAACGCGTTTTACAACGGCGGAACCTTTATTAAACACTGAAAAAGTAAAAATAAAATAATATTTTACCCAAAAATAAACAAACGGAATCGTAATATAAAAATTAGTAATCTTCCGTACAACCTTAAAAAACATAGGAGCTACATTTATCGGTGAACTCCCAAAGAAGAGGTATTGTCTATGTTTTCAAGCACTTCCTCTTCCAATTGAGATTATTTAGTTTAGGGTAACTCGGGACTGTGTTCAAATCCCTAACAATCAAACAAATGGTAAAAACTGAAAATAATGTATATATATATATATATATATATATATTAAAAATCTTCATCCTTGTAAAATATAACAAGAAAACAATAAAAAAAAAAAAAAACATAATTTATTTCTAATACACAAAGATACATGTTCACTCACCCAAAAACAAGCCTAATATTCATATTCATTCCACATGATATATGTCATATTAATCTATCAGCAATTTGATACTCTAGAAAAATAAAATGAAAAATAGGGGAATAAAACAATAATTTAGTAAATTCAAGTAACAAAAATAAAGAAATAAAATATTTTAAAAATCAATGGCAAAGTAGGTTGAAGACTGAAGACAGAGAGAGAGAGAAGGAAAAAGGTATGCCTTAGAGAGAGGTCCCCTACAGCCACATAATAGATAAATAAATAAAGTACCCAAAAAAAAAAAAAAAAAAAAAAAAAAAAAAAAAAAAACAACGAAATAAAGATTAAGCCTATACAAAATAATATTTAAATAAGAACAAAAAAGTAAAAAATAATTAAATAAAGAACAAGCCTATAAGATCACTCACCAGAATGAAGTCTATGATCATATTAATCTATCTGTAAATTAATACTTAAGGAAAAATAAAATAAAAATTAGGAGATGGACAATAATTCAATTAATTCAAAATAAAAATTAGGAGATGGACAATAATTCAATTAATTCAAATGTTGAAGTACTCCTTCCGTCTCAATTTAAGTGTCGTTTATGGATAATAGTAATTTTTAAACGAACGTGTGAGACATACATTGTCTCCCTAAAAAGTTACTAATTTGCCCTTTTAAGTTTTGAATATTCAAATTTGAAATTTTAAACTCACATATATGAAAATATATGAAATATATTACTTGAAAAAGAAAAGTGTACACTTATTTTGGGATAAACAAAAGAGAAAAGTATGGCATTTATTTTGAGACGGAAAGAGTAATTTTTTAACAAATTTTGTTAATACTATTGATTCGTAATCAATGAGCAAAGAAAATATTTTCAATCTAAATAAAAAGAAATAAAATTCTTAAAAACGAGAAAGGAAAAAAAGAAAGAAAACCTTTATAACAAATTAGTTGGTCGTAGATCACGGTTTCTTCTTCAAATCCAGGGTCATAGGAGACCAGGTCAGTTGAAGTAGCTTGGATCGTGGCATGTGTCCCCTGTTTCCAAAATTCAATAGAATAGCCTGTGTGATGGAGTTTAAAAAAACTATTCTAAAACATAGAGGCAATATGTGAAGAATCCTGGTAGTAGAGTGGTAGTAGAGTAAACCATGAATTCGGTGTAGAAAAGGATTATTATTTTAATTGATAACTTATTTATTATTTTAATTTTAAATATTAGTATATATATATATGTGTGTGTGTGTGTGTGAAAATTTATTGTAAATTCTAAAGTTTAAAAAATTAAATGTATATTGTCTATATAAAATGAATAAGCATCTTTAATTTATTTTTTTAATTAATTGTGAATATTTTTTTCTGTTTTATAATTATAAAAGGAAGTAAGGTTTTCATCCCATATAATATATTGTAAATTAATCTGACAGTTGTGATAACGTTTTGTTTTTTTTGTTTTTTTTTTTTTTGGAGAGAGAGAGAGAGACAATACCGAAAATACACTGTTAGCGGAAATATATAGAGAATCTTTTTTTAGAAAGGTGAGAAAATCCTTAAAAGTAGGTTAAATATAGTTAATATGCACAAAACACCCCTATACTATGAGATTATTAGCTTACTATGATGTTTTCGATTTTCACCATTTTTCTTTTTCCGAAAATTTTGTCGCTGAATGGGCATTTTTGTCTTTTCACGTTGTGCTTACCGGACACCGTGGGGTGTGCTGGGTGTGTCGAATAATCGTTGGGAGCATTTTATTGAGCT